TTCAGAAAATCAAAATTACAAGAGCACACTTTTCACAAGAAAAATCAAAGTAAATGAAACAAAAACATTTGGAATTAAAAAAAAAAAAAACCCAGCCTGTTCACATCCATGGTATTAGTGTTGGTATGAAACAAAAAGACCTGGGGGCTCAACGCTCTGCTTCTGCAGACTGTTGTCACCCATGTGAACTCAGTGGAATACAGCAGTTTATATCAGCTGGGGAGGTGGTCCCATGACTAACCAAAAAAGGACCTAAGTACTGATACGATTTTTAAAGCTTGCCTTAATTATTTTACTGGTTCTACACTTATGTATTCATACCAGAAAATAATCTCAAGAGCTGCAAAATGTCAGACATTTAATTAGCTCTAAGTGCCTTTATGAACGACAAATATGCTGAGCCAAATCAATCACTGGTACCACTTTGCACACAACTGGCTTCCAAATTACACCAGAAAAGAACATAGTTCATCTGCTTTTTCAGTGCATGCGACCTATTTGCAAGAAGCTATGACTTCAATGCCAGCACTGACCAACAAATTCAAAGAGCACATTTTTATCTATGATAAAACAAGAGATTGATTTTCATAGATAAAATATTCCACTTTCATAAAAGGAAGGTTCTAGCAGGCTGTCTTCATTTAATCAAAATACAAAGGGAAGAAATGTGAGGTTATAAATTGTCTATACTTCATTTTCTTTTGTATTCACTGACAGCTGCACTAATTAAAAAAGCCCAGTGATAGAAAACAGATCAACTCTGCCCACGGCCAAAAAACTATGTATTCACATGCAATGCAGAAATATTTTTACCATATCTTTGTAAAACTATTATGAAAAATGTACTAATGAAATCAGTGATTTGGAAAACGTTTCGTATAATCATTGCGGTTGGAAGGGACCTCTGGAAGTCATCTAGCCCAACCCCCTGTGCTCCAAGCAGGGTCAACTACTACCCGTGAGTTGACTTACTGCAAAAAGAGTAGCATATTATACACATGGTGACTAGCTCAAAAGTATCTTTTTTCAGTTTTCTCCTTTTCTTTTCCATAGCTAACGTTAGCATTTTTTTAACTTCAAGTAAGAGAGAGAAAAATTTTCCTACAATCATTCTACTCAAAGAGCAAAAATGAGTGGGGAGTTTTTCAGTTTGCTTAATATCAGGCATGATTCTTTTCTGACTTCCACTTTTGCTATAACTTACCTACGGGCTTCAAGCTAGGTGTGTGTATAAGATGTTTCAGGATTGTAGCTCAAACAGCCATATGACCAGGCTAAATCAAAGTATCATTTGCTACCAGTTCCCTCTTTGAAATTAATTGATGTGAAAGAGTAAACGACTTGGAACGTAGCAGATTATTTCTGCCAACAGACTCTGTCCTGCAAGTTAGTTGGTATTTGTACATATCTTCTAGAACTGATGTCTGCAAACCAACCTGTTTTTTAATATCAAAACAGGAAAAATATCTTTAATCATTGAAACATCCACCTTTTGATATATCAGCTAATACCTATGTAAGTAATTTCCACCTGTAATTTTTATTTGGAAAACTGCAGAATGTCTGTAATGTATTTTATTCAAGTAAAATGTGAAAAGAATCGGGCCTTATCCTAATCTTTCCATGAGTTCTGAATTAAGACCTATAGACCTATCTAACAGTGTGGATTAGACCAAATCCTGAGTTTGATCCTTACGCTTTACTCATAGCTTGTTGAATTCAGTGATAATTCATGAGTAAAGTTTAATTAAAGTACTCAAAATTTGCCACAGCAATAACATTTTTTTTCAACAAAATCAACAGATTTTTTTCAAATCTGATTCCTGATGGGATGTAGCAATTAAAAGCAGTTGTTAGCACTAAGGGGGAGTTCTGCCAGAACAGCTACCTGGGCTTAAATGAAGAAACAATTACTGGACTCCAAATGAAATTGTAGGTAACCAAGAAGCTTGATGCTGTATAGTTACATGATGGAAATTAAGCTGATCTTAAAATCACAACCTGCAAGTTGTAGCTTTGCTTTCTCAGACCAGCACTGCTTGAATGCGGAGGCTCCTCTGTCAGATTTCTCTCAGGGGTTGCAATAGAGTAACATTTCTCCCCCCCGAGCTTCACCTAACAGGAAAAATGATCTTTTAACAGCTTTCCAGTAATTACTCTGCCTGAAAATACTATATATTCCACAAAAACACCTGAACTCTCTGCAGGTCTAACCACACACATTAACTTGAAAAGGGCAGACTAGGTATCAGTTGATCCTAAGTTAAATCTATCTCTGTTATTATTTTTTATATACAATATGGATCCAATCCTGCAGGACACACTCTGTGAGGGTTGTACTAGGGTAAGGACTGCAAGATTCAGAGCTTCATCAAACAAGCCATTTTTGCTCTCAGGTGTTGATATAAAAAAGCACATATTCCAGGTGGTCTAGTTTATATAAATACACTCCAGAGAGACTTTGACTTCATTCTTCAGAAGCATAAACGAAAGGAAAATATAGCCCATGAATTTTGATGTACTAAAATAGAGAGATGCATACTGCATTATTTCAGCAATGTAATTAGTTGGCATTTAGCAAAACTTACGAAACCGCTACTCTAGATGCTAGTAAATCTAAAAACTTTGAGTATTAAACTCCGCCTTTGTTTACGTCTAGGCAACTTTATCAGCTTTAGTCTATGTTCAGCGTATTTGCACAGATACAACAGAAAGCAGAATTTAGCTTTTAGCTTTCGTGCAGAAAGGGCTTTTATGGCTTATAACATAGAAAGTTGACAAGAGCATGCGTGAAGCTGAACACCTAATAGCAAATATCTTTATTGTACTCATGTACATTGACTTTTAATGCAGTGTCTGCCCCCAAGATCAGTGGCAGCAGAAAGACTTCTCCTCACCTGGTTTACAAAAAGCAGGTCAAGGAAGTCATGAGACGACATGCCCAAGGGTTGCAGAACAGTGCTTCTGATCATGAGAAACTCTTTGTGTTTATTCAGAAAGCAGTAAAAATAATTTAAAAGTTTAATCTTGAGTGGTGGGAATATATTTTAACTGTTGAATAAAATAAACACATTCAGGAAAACATTTAACAGCAGAGATAACTGGCAATTGTAACTACTTGCTACAAGGTGACCCTGCTTTGCCTGAGTAAGGACTGCACTGCCAGACCAAATACTTTGAAGATGCAAAGGGCTATCCCAGTGTGTTTGACTGCTCTTCCCCGATCACAGTACTTTCAATTAACAGCAGCAATAGGACTGACTCCGAGCTTCAGCTCTTTTGGCTTTTGCTTAGAACAGAAGTTGGGCCTAATCCTGCATTCCTTTTGCACCTAAACTCCCCCAAGCCTTATCAGGCTTTCCAAATTCTGACTAATGTCTGTGAGAGTACTTGTTACAAAGGAATGAAGGACAGAGTCAGTTCTAAGGAAAGCTGCACGTTACAAAAAAATACTCAGTGGTCTCCTCCACCCATTTTTAAGGGAAACACACAATTTTCAAAAGCAGGATTTCAATGTCTTTATGTAAGGCCCCAAATATACATTCCTTCTGGCTCCCAAAACTCCATGTGAATGTTAGTTTTGCTTGAATAAGGCCTGCAAGATCCATCCCCAAATCTTGGTCCTTGTTAAATTGAATGGAAATCTGCAAGTGACTTCAGTGGGATCAGAATAGACCCTTCAGCCACTAGCATGTTGCCCAGATATTTTAGCCACCTTTTCTGCAATACAATATTGTCTAAATCTGTTTTTACTAACCTGTAAGACACTACAGATTGTTGTTAAAGGAAAGGGTAGAACACAACAGGAAACAATGTCGCTTTGGGAATCTTACCATTAGTAAGTTTCTTTCCCCTTACATTTTCTTGTGAGATCAAAGATCAAACTAAAATTATTAAGTACACAGTCAAGTAACTTTAAATCTACAGATCAAAATTATTCTCAAAATGTTCAAATACTTAAAAATATGCACTCAAGTTTACTTCTAAAAAGCATTTTTCCAACAAACTTAAGCTGTTATCTAATAGTCTAAAATGCAGAGCTGTACTTTATCCTATTGTTTGTCCACAGGCAACGTATGGGGCCACAATGTGCTGAAATCATAATCCTTGCTTTCTGAAGAGAAATTGTTCTGTGTAATAATTTCTGAGGTGTGGTTTAAAATCCTGTCCTCCTCTAAGCAATTTCAGAAGTCATCTAAAATTATAATCAAACATGCTCAAACATACTTGTGGGCTTAAAAACATGGTGTGATCATGGTCAGCAAACACTGGATAGAAGGTCAAACCAAACACTTCCTAACAGGTCAAGAGTAAAAAAAAAATTATAGAAATATGAACCTCAAAAATCTATTACAGGGGTTACCTAAACTTTGCCCAGCCGAGGACCACATTGGTGATATGCCATGAGCACAAAGGCTTCATTAAGTCGTGTTATATGGAAGAGACTGAGTCACCTTTAATATGGCAAGTTGGTCCATAGAGATGACAGGTGCCAATAGGCAATATGCCACTCTGATGTTTGCCATAGGGCTACCTAAGAATTAAGAGGAAGAAAAGAAGTCATCGCATCCGCTCACATAGAGCTTATGTGAAAAACTGTGGAAGTGAAGGCAAGGGCAAGAGGGAGAGAACGGCCAGGCACATGGGCACTAGGGATATTAACATTTTTCTCAGATGAAAGTCAGCCTCAGGGCACATGACCAGCTACCACCACCACCTGTTATCTATGCAGGCCTCCCCTATGGCTGCCCTCAGGAGATCTGCCATGGACACGAAAGAAAGTGGGACTGGTCCCCTGGCCCACAGGCTGCGCTTTGGCCACCCCTGACCTATTAGAAAATGTTGATATTTTTCCCCACTACAACTCACAGAGTGCAAAAACAGCAAGCGTCAAAGTTTGAAACCCAGGCCTTCCCACCCACGCCAGGCCTGGCCTCCCTGGGCAGCTCCCCTGCCCACTCTGCCTTCCATCATCTGCTCCTCTGAGCAGAGGTGACCGCACTACACGGCCAGGTCGTCTGACCTGGCTCTGCAGCTGCTCGACTTACTGGCCCTGCTCAAGCGCCGTGTGTCTACGAGCAGCGGTGGCTCATGCATCTCCACGGTGGTGCAGGCAGCTGAGACGGGCCGTTGCTCTGACAGCTCCTCCTCACCCTCCACATCCCACTTGCTGCCACTTGCCCCACTCAGGCCAGTGCTGCTGCCGCCGCTGTTGGCCACAGCAATGGGCGGCCCAGCTGGGGGTGGGAGTAGCTGCTCCAGTGGCTCCTCCTGCTCGGGAAGGGGATGCCGGACACTGCTGGGAGTAGAGGAGCCTGCCGAGCTGGAGGGCACCTTCCCCTGCTGCTCAGCTGCCATGTTGGCCCAGTTCTGCTCGGCTGCCAGCGCGCGGCTGTTGCTGCTGAAGTAGTTGATGACAGCTGGCGTGGGTGTGGGGATGGGGGTCGGGATGGTGACGGGAGTGGAGATGGGCGTGGGAGTCACAGCACGGTACCTCTCCTCAGGAACTGGTGGAGCAACAGTGTAGCTGGCCATGGAGGCCATGTTGGAAGGGGGCCGTGGTCTTGGAGCAGCTGCAGGATAGTACGATGCCATGGTCACCGGGGCCAGCAGCGGTGTGACGGCACGGGTGTCAGGAAGAACAGGGTGGGGTGTGGCAGTTGTTACCACCACGGGTGGTGCTGGTGGTGGCAGGGCAACAGGTTTGGACTCCCCTGTTACCATGACTGGTGTCATTGTTGCAACAGGCATCTCAAGGCTGTATCTGCTTGTCATGCCCTGCTTAAGTTTCTTCCACCCCAAGTGATATATCTCAAGCATGTTCAGCAGCAGGGAGACAGAGGCCACCACCAACATGAAGATGATGAAGATAGTCTTCTCAGTGGGCCTTGAGATGAAGCAGTCCACAGTGTGTGGGCAAGGTGAGCGGCTGCACTGGTAGACAGGCTTTAGCTCGAAGCCATATAGGAAGTACTGGCCCACAATGAAGCCCACCTCAAACAGTGTCTTGAAAATGATGTTGAAGACGTAGGTACGGAGCAGGGCACCCCCCATACGGATTCTACCACGTTCATCACGGATTGGGAGCTTCTCCTTCCCCCTTTTGCCAAGAGGATCCTTGATGTTATTGCTGCCTCCTCCACCACCACTGCCAGACGCTGCTGCTCCTGGGTAGTTGGTCTCTTTGACGCTTGCTTTCTTTTTCAGCTCTTCTTTCTCTTTCCTCTTCTCCTCCATTCGTACAATGTGCAGCACATGGCCCAGGTAGATGAGGGTTGGAGTGGAGACAAAAATGATCTGCAGCACCCAGAAGCGGATGTGAGAAATGGGGAAGGCTTTGTCATAGCAAACATTTTCGCAACCAGGTTGCTGAGTGTTGCATGTAAAGTCTGACTGCTCATCTCCCCAGACCTCCTCAGCAGCGGCCCCCAGCACCAGTATCCTGAAGATAAACAGTACCGTCAGCCAAACCTTGCCAATAACCGTGGAGTGCTCCTGCGCATTCTCTAACAGTCTCCCCAGAAAGCTCCAGTCACCCATTGTTTCAGATTTCTAACCTACAATAAGAACATTAGAGCAATGTTAAAAAAAAATCTTATAATTACACAATGCCGGGGCAGAACAGATTGATCCTTGACAAATGACATTTCTTAAGTGCACTTCCTTTTGCAGAATATTGCACACTTATGTTAAGAACTACATAACCCTGTGACCATGCAGCGATGGGTTTTGGTGAGCAGAGAAGTGGCATGTTTAGTGCTTTCACCCAGCCAATACAGGTTAAAGTGTCTATACAAAACAGGCAAGAAAGATTCATAGTTAGAATTTCTACAAGATTTAAATATTTTTTAAAAATTATTTCCCCATTTCCTCCACCTGAGATGCTTCTAACTGTTCGTGCCTATTTTTAGAAAAGAACAGATGGAAATCAGTTCAATGAAACAGAATATTCCTACTATTAATGTGACTGCACTTGTATCAGAGTGTGATACAAAGTTTGCCTAACTCTAATAATTTTATTGTTATCAGGAGGCCAGTAATGTCCCAGGTCTCTGCTATTTTCATACTGTACAAACACAGAAAAATAATTACTCAAAACCTATGGAATTTACAGTTTAATTTTGGAATGTGTACACCAACAAGAAGCATGTTCCCAAAGCCTAGTCGTGTTTGAGTTTGCTTATTTCTAAAAAGAGAATTATTTTAATAACTTGGAATATTGGGGAGAAAGAAAAATTCTGAGAGGAATGGTGGAAAGGTTTCTATGACATTTCCCCTATGGTCCTGCCAGTTGGTGTTACTGAACCACATCTACTGCAACATTATTTTAACAAAAAAAACCCCAAACCTCAAGAGCACTTCAGCAACTGTGCACAGAGATTTTCTTGGAAAAATAGAATTATACCCTATGACTTACTTCTGTGATAAACAACTGGTATATATTCTCAGTAGTTTCCACCAATTTATGTATGGTGGGCTTCCCATGTCCAGTTCTAGGCTGTGACACAACTTCTGATTTGGAAAGGTTTAAAGTACAGGAGTTGTTTCAAGATTAGATACCTCACAAGCTTCCTTCAGTTGAGAAACAAGCTATTATCTGCTGGTATCACTTCTGTTACCCTTCCTAACTGGAATATATGTAAGAATATTGAAATGTATGTAAGAAGTACATTTCATTCTCCTAACGAACACACTTTTATATTTTATATGTTAACCTCCAACTGAAAACAAAATACAAAACTTTACTTTCAGCTACCTTCAGTACCTTCAGAAATACTTATAGCATAATTATAATTCAGATATAACAATTTGCATGCAAAAAACCACTATCAGAAAAGACTGATAATCCTCTTGTTCAAAAATCTCATAATATTTTACAAATATAACTGAATTACAGTTTACTCTTTTCATACTTACACTTCTTGTCCAAATACCCGTGTGTCTTACAATTCCCAAGACAAAAAGGCATTCATCATTACAGGTAGGAATTGTAAAATATACTATTCTCAGTATTATATTCACTGTGATTTCCAACAATGATGTCACTGTTTTTCCAGAGGAAGCATTTCCGAAGTCTGTACTGAACATCTTTCAGGCTTTCAGTTATGGTAATTAAAGAAGTTAAAGTTCTTTAACTTACTTTTTTTATGACTTGATTTTACTAAGAGGCAATGAAAATACCTGTAACTGCAGAATAGTATACTTTCACACAAAAAGCAACACCACACCCATTAGTATTTTGCATTTTTGTAAATCCTGGAGTACTAGTTCACTTTTTTATCCCCACAATGTTAATTCAACAAAAACTCTCCCTAAAAAAAATAGATCTTTGATATTCTACAAAAACACATTCCCTTTAATATAACTGAATTCTTTTTCCAGCATAGCATGATAAACTGCAAATGACAATATTAACAATGAAATACTTATTTTGTGTAGTAATGTCTCTGGGTCCTAAAACAATTTTTAATATTTTTTAATATATTCAGGGTTTTTTTGAAGAGTGCCTTTTTCCCCTTTTAAAACAGTAGCCCAAAACGCAATAAATTTTATTAGAATACTTCATTTTTATAACCCTAATTTAACATGTTTATATGATTTTAAAATTTAATCTTCAATTTTAATTTTATGAGGCTTACAATATTTTGGATGGTGAACTAATTTCAATCTTGAGAAGTATTAATTTTTCAGGGAATAATGAATTCATTTTGTATCTTTTTTACTCAAAGCCATTTGAAGGTATACTCAGTTTAGTTCCATCTTTCGACAGAACAAAACTGTTGTTTGGGAATATTCCCATTTTGAGTAGGAAAATGTAGGAACAGCAAAATAAATAATGTGAAATTTGATGGATTAAAGTTTAGCATAACCCTGAGTTCAGTATTTCATTTCTCTGCTATTCCTTGCATTATTCTGTAGCTTTCAGTTCTCTCTGCCTCACTCTGTTTTCTATCCAGATCAAGCAAAACAGGCAGCTCTAATAACAAGTAGTCAAAGTTATGGTTTGTTCTTTTGTTACTAGTACTTGTAATAGGAAGTTTATTAATCAGCAAAAGCTAGCACATTAAATCTTGTTTAATTCATTAATTATGGTCCATTTTCAGCACGGCTGCCATTACCCTTGTGTCCAACGGCACAGAGGCTACACACCATTCTTTATAAAGACAGATATTACCTTCTGTTGTTCCAAAAAATGAAACTGATCTGCCCTCATGAAAAATTACAACCCCTGCACTGTAAGGTGAACAGAGGTAGCAAAGGTAGCAATCGGGTTTTTTCTTCCCTACAGGCACACTGTAGTGTATCTCTTACTGGCATCAATAGGCGATGTTGACTACAAAAGCAGGATTTTTTGTGCTTTTCTAAAGAATTATCTAGTGATTAGTGGAAGAAGAAAAATAACATTTTGTAAAAAGTAAAGATGACAAATAATGCCATCTAATTTATTCTCAATCATTCTCCGTTCACTAATACTACTGAAGATGTTGTTTTTTTCTTTTTACTACAGGTCAACAATGCCCAGGGTGAGATAATTCAGGACACCAAAGACGTGACATGATGTATTCTCAAAGGATACACTTAAAAAAAACTATTCTAACATTTACATTAATTAAAAGATTTATTTCTGTGTATCAGAGTGTGCAAATTCATCCTATACACGAAGAAAAACTGTTTAAGCAGTGAGCAGATACTTCACAGCATCTTAACCGCACAGAGGTGGAAACCTCAGTATTCATCTTAGTATGAGTTGAAGCAATCATTGCCTTCACTACACATGTATTACCCATAGTACATAAATACGGGAATGACATAATTTAAAAGAGCAATGCAAAGATACGTATCTCCACTGGGCTCTCAGAAATCCAGGTCCTGTATCTTTCTTCGATGTCAACACATTCTCCAGTGAGTAATTCTTAAAGCCAACATAACTCATCCAAAAATCACATCAACAATTTTAAAGGGGTGCCTTGATACAAATAATGATTAAATGACATCAAACAAAACTGGAGGACTCACAGAACTCGAAGAATATTTGAGTTGTCACCATTAAGTTCAACAATAAAATACCTAAATCTAAACAGTCACAACTCAGTATTTTAGCTGAGCACAATTCCAAGCTTGCTTTTGTAGTATTACATAAACTTCACCTGTACACTACTACTTTCAGCGCTGCTGAAATACAGAGCTTGGCAACTGTTAATTGTTAACTGTTAATTCCTCTGAGACAAATACTGAAAAATGGGCAGTTCATAAAAACTGGCATGGCATTCCGTTTAAGAACCAACGTTGTGCTATTAATTACTAGGTTTAGTACATGCACAAATACACTTTGTGGATGGTGTGTGTGACAAAGAGAACGAGAAAGAGCAAAAATTTTAAAAGCTGTGATGTCATACATATCCCTCTACAGGACAGAAATAATTATCATGTGGCACCTAAAAACTTTCCAGTTATTATTTCTAATTCTATTTCTGATGATGTCACCAAAGAGGTTCATCACTAATTATTGATATATTCATTGAATATATCAAGTGTGTGAAATAGGATATTTTAATTACTTATAATTTTACTCATACATGTATGTTTATGTATTTCCATATACATATGCACCCATAAATAACTACACAGCTATGCTACATACATTACCAGACTATGATACCTGGTGTATTTATGATTTTATTATGCTGGTATATCTAAAAAATATCCCTTAGCAATTGCTTAGAAACCTAACAGGTGTCCTTGTCTTAATATGATTTCTTAAATTCAGTCCACATTATCTTTCATTTCTTGTGACAGTCTAAAATCTTGGGATTTAGGTTTTTATCTTCAAAATTACCTAGATTTTATAAACCGGTATGAGAAAAAAATGCTGTTAAAATAGAAAATAACTTGCAGCATTTCCTTTGTTTTTACACTAAACAATCAGGCATCTCCATTGCTACCAGGTTTTTAACTCTGCTAATTTAAGTCAGATAAAAGTAGCCATCCTGCACAAAGTCTGCAGTGTGACCATGTCATTCCAGACAAACTGGCAGATATGCAGGGACAGAATGAGCTACTGTAATTTCCAATGAAACCTAATTCATATTTGGCCAGGTACATATATATGAAACACAATGGTGGGCGTTTCATAATTTGCAGTGAAGGTTTCATAATTCACTTTATGAACTTGTTTAAATAAGGATTTGAAAAATACCCTTCTTCTTGCTCAGTGTCATACCTCGACACATCTATTACCACTTTCATTGTATTTTAAACAACTGTTAAAAATTAATTCCTTCAATGATCTTGTTATTACCTTAAACTTACTTTACTGCTATGGATCTTCCTCCTTAAATTGCAGGCAAAACTTCTCTGGACTTCTTCTTGACTTCACTTGACCTCAGAGTGAAAGTTTGGCCTGAGTAAAGGAAAAGCGCAAGGAGCACAGGGCTGAGCCCAGGAGGACAGCTACCCCACCTGTTAAACTCCTCTGTTCCCTGGTGTAACAAACCCTTGCTCTGATTCACTACTCACAGGAGAAAAACAGGAACAAAAAG